AATGTAGATTTGTTTGTTTCGTCCTGCTTATTGTTTTATTTGGTTATGTCTGAGCAGGCAGGCTGTGTGTTCTTTGTTGTTTGCTTGTCTGTGTCACGATACTTTTTACCTCCTTCTCCAATGGGCAGGGTCTGTCACTCAGGTATGGTATAGCAGGTCAGGACTAGCTGGAGGGAAGTTGCTGGGGTGGGTTTTTCGTGGCACGTACTAGGGCCGACAGGGCAGGTTAGGAGTCAGTGCAGGGAAGATTCTGGTAGGCCGTGCATGTGCTGCCTAGGAGTGTGATGTTCAGCGCATGGTGCCAGTAGGCAGGAAGGAGGGGGGAGATTGTGCTGTGGGGTGCTAAGATGGGTATTGGAAAGAGGAGAGAGAGGAGAGAGGAACAGGAGCCAAAAACATACACACAAACAAAAAAGAGTGCTAAGGGAGGTTGCTGTTGGAGTGGAGAGATGAGAGATTGAGAGATGGAGGAAAACGAAAATGAAAACAAAAGAAAAAAATGAATAAGTAAAAATTAGAGGAAAAAAAGAAAAGGAAAAGCTCCTAGGGAACCCACTGGTGCAGCTGCTAGGACTGGGGAAGTTGCTCTCAGGCTGTGAAATACAGCATGGATAGAAGGGTTAGAGGTGTTCCACAGTGCCAGGTATTCAGGAGACAGGAAGAGAAGGTAAGTATAGAGAGACGAGAAACTGGAAATGAAGAAAGACAGAATGGGAAAAAGAGAGAGAAGAAAACAAAACAGAGAAATAAATAAAAGCAAAAAAAAAAAAAAAAAACAAGAAAGAAATGCCCCCAGGGATGTCACTGTGCATCTGCACAGAGTAAGGGAGTAGCTTCCAAACCTCACGGTACTGCCTGGCTGGAAGGGGCTCCCAAGCTGAGAAAAGGAAAAGAAAACAAACAAACAAATCAAAACAGAACAAACAAACAAAAGCCCCTGGGGTCCCACCAGCATGGCAGCATGGGCTGGGAAGCAATTTCACAGTTGAGCAGTGCTTTGCAGCCTTTCAGGAAGAAGCAAAGATGGCACCCGGAGCCAGGTATTTGAGAGAAAGGAGGGGGAGGTCGTGAGAGTTAAGGAAGAAATCTAATGAAGTGGAAAAAAGCAACACCAGCAGCCAACAAATGGCACTTAGGGACCCGGCCAGTGTGGGAGGATGGAATCCCAGTGACACTGGGGTGAAGCTGGTGCTTCCCAGCCAAGAGACTGTGGCCGCAGGAAGCAGAGGAGACCGAGTAGGGGTGAAGAAGGGTGTGGGGTGGGAAAGCTTATATCGCAGGTTACCTGTTGTTCTGTCTCCTGCTGGACAGTCCATGAAGCTGCTTTCTTGTACCCCTGTTCGCTGATCTCCGATAGGAGTCCAAGATGGCAGATGTGTGCTGGGTTAGCTGATAGGGGATCTCTGCATGTTTCTCTCCTCACTCTCTGTTCTCGGTCAGTTTCTTATTCTATTTGGTGTTTGGCTGAGTTCTTTATCTCTTTATTTGATACTTAGGGTTTCAGGACTGACATGTGACTCTGTTTGACTTAGTTTTTCTGATCTTTGCTGCAGAGGGATGGTGTGGTGCTTCTGTCTATAGCACCACGTTGCCCGGAAGTCTCAGTATAAAATCTTAAACTAAACAAAATTATGTGACTTAATAGCTGTCTTATTATAATAAACTGTTCTATCTGAATGAAGAGCTGTCCCTTGATCCTTAGGATCCCCAGGAGGGAAGTCATTTAATGTAGGATGAGGTAGGCTTGGCTGACTAGTAGCTCCCTTTCTCTTCATGGAGAAAGAGACTAAAAAGGAAAGAAAGAAGGATGAAGGATATAAGAAAAGTAGGACAGAGATGACTGTTAACTGCTTAACCTTCTTCCCTGCAGGAACTGTAGGCCCTTGGTTTTCCCCCATCACTGTGAGGGCTAGGTTATGTCATATACAAATTCTCCTTTTTTACAGTGTAGAGATTTTTAAGAATAAAGGTTTAAGAACTCACATTACCAAGCAGTTCTATTCTGTACACATGGAGTCGCCATGAGTTGAAATTGGCTCGAGGACAGCTAACAAAAATAAAAAATAAAAAAAAAAACTCACATTACCCAATTTCAAGATTTGTTATAAAAGCTACAGTACCCAAGACAGCATGGTACTGACAAAAGGGTAAACACAAAGATCAGTGGAACAGGGTAAAGCCTAGAAATAGACCCAGATAATATAGTCAGCTGATTTTTTTTATATACAATATTATTTTAATGGAGAAAGGATGGTCTTTTCAACAAATAGTGTTGTAATAAACGCTGGAAGTCCATGTTCCAAAAAAATAATAATGAAGAAGAAGAACCCATATACATACTTCACACCTTATGTAAAAATTAGCTCAGAGTGGATCATAAACCAACCCAGTTGCTGTCAAGTCAATTCCAACTCTTAGTGATCCTATAGGACAGAGTAGAGCTGCCCCATAGGGTTTCCAAGGAGCAGCTGGTAATTTGAACTGCCAGCCTTTGGTTAGCAGTCTGAGCTCTTAACTACTGTGCCACCAGGGCTTCAAGTGGATCATAGACCTATGTGAAACAGAACTATGAAACTTCTAGTAGAAAATATAGGGAAAACCTGCACGACCTTGGGTTTGGCTGAGTTTTTAGGTACAACACGAAAAACATGATCTATTAATGGAAAAATTGATCAGTTGGATTTTGTTAAAATTAAAAACTTGCTTCTACGAAAGACACTGTTAAGAGAATGAAAAAACAAGTCAGAGACTGGAAGAAAATATTTACAAATCACATATCTGTTAGAGGACTTATGTCTAGAATATATAAAGAACTCTGACTGGACTATAAGAAAGCAAAGGTGGGAATGCAAAATGGTACAGCTACTTTGGAAAACAGCTTGACAGTTTCTCATAAAGTTAAACATAGACTTATGATAAGACCCAGCAAATCCAACTTGTTTCATAATTGTTAAAATTATGAAACAGTCAAGATGTCCACTTCAACTGGGGAATGGATAAACTGGTACATCTATACAGTGGAATACTGTTTAGTGATACAAAGGAACAAGCTGTCGATTCACACAACAGCATGGATGAATCTTAAATGCGTTTTACTAAGTGAAAGAAGCCAGACCCAAAAGGCTGCATATTGTATGCTTTTATTCATAAGACTCTGGAAAAGACAAAGACAAAACTATAGAAATGGGAAACAGATTATTGGTTGCTAGGGATTAGGGAAAAGGAGAGTGAGACTACAAAAGAAATACACAGAGGAATTTTTAGGGGTAAAGGAATTGTTTTGTAAGGTACTGGGTTGGTGGATACATGATGCTATGCATTCATTCAACCCATAGAATTCATCACAAAGAGTAAACTGTAATGTATGCAAGCTAAGCGCGCGCGCGCGCACACACACACACACACACAGACACACACGCAAATCAACTAGGAGGTGGAGTGGGAGTGGAAGGATCCAAGGATGGAACTCAGACAGTTGAATGTAAGTGTATTACAAATTTATGACATAGCAGCACTGAAGGGGATGAACTTTATAATGTGATTGTTGTTGTAAGTTTCCATCAAGTCGATTCCAACTCATGGCAACCCCAGGTGTGCAAAGTAGAGCTGCACTCCATAGGGTTTTCAAGGCTGTGACCTGTTGGAAACAGATTGCCAGGCCTTACTTCTGAGGCACCTCTAGGTGGGTTTGAACCGTCAGCCTTTCGGTTAGTAGTCCAGCAAGTAACCATCTGCGCCTCCCAGGGACTCCTTTTGGTAACTCAGAATTAGTAAACTTGTGTACGTTCTTTATTCATATAAATTTATTGGAAAATAATATTTATATTGCAGTTAACAACTTGCAAAGTAATTTCAAAGACTTTAAATACTTGTGAGATTAATTACATGTTTTGGCGTATGTTTTTTTGAAATAGCAAAGATGGTAATACCTTAACTCATTCTAACTACATGTTTTTGTGATGAAGGTAGCCAAATAAAATTTTTAAATTTAACTAGAGAGGATTGTGAAATTAACATATCTTTCTTAATGCAGGATTCTTTCAGATGCCACTCACCAGGTTTGCTCTTATCTAAAAATTTAAATTTCCACTAGAGATCACAGGAAAGATGCTAATAGTTAGAAGCTATTTCCAAAACATAACCCCAACCCATAAAAAGCCAGTGCCATCTAGTCAATTCTGACTCAGCAACCCTATAGGACAGAGTAGAACTACCATATAGGGTTTCCAAGGCTGGAAATCTTTACAGGAACAGACTGCCACATCTTTCTCCTGCAGAGCAGCTGATGGGTTCAAACCGCCGACCTTTCGGTTATCAGCCGAGCACTTAACTGCTGCACCACCAAGGCTGAAAACATAACCCCAGGACTCATTTTCTAAAATGAGATTTCCAATCAGACATGTGTGTTCCCTCTTCAACTGCAAAGTGAAATTGTATTTGCATTTGCCCCAGGTTTCCACTTACTGTTTCTGCAGTTACTTCTGAAAAGCATTGTGTGTTTTCTTTTTACTTCATGCTTAGATTTCCCTAGTATATTAAAGTATGTTTTGAATTTCATCTGAAATCTGATTTTCAGTGGAATTTTAGTTGAGGCCATACAGAGTACCCTAGGAATTTAAAGTCTACAAAAATTCTTGTTTATTTTTAAAGTGAGATTTTTAAGCACACCTACCACAATGTTGTTGTTGTTGTCATTAGGTGCTGACCCTACATTCAACAGAGCGAAACACTGCCAGCACATTTAAATATATCATACCTTTTCTCTAGCATGAAAGTATTGTAGTCGTTTCTCTGTCACATCTGTATGTTGCAGATACTTTTTCTCCCTCTTAGTTTAGAACCATTACTCTCAATTGTATATGTGCATTCCTGTGTGTTTATGAAATTTTAGAACACAACTTTAGAAGCTAGTCACATAAGGCTGTATGTTATTTTACTTAAGGGATAATTATATGCAAAATAAAAATAAAATTTATTTCCTTTCACCTTTCTATTTCTAGATGACACAGTGCATGCAACTGGGTCTTGCAAGGATCGGTTACCAGGAAATTCGCTTATTGGTTCGCTGTTTCGGTGGGAAGAAGATGAAATACCAAGGTTAGTTAATGTTGTAAAGGAAAAAAAGACTTATTTAAATATATCCTAGTTATGATCAGAAATCAGTGCTTACCATAATTTAATTTAACCTTTTATTATATTGAGTTTTTAAAAAAAATCTGTAAGTTTATCAAAAAAGCAAATCTCAGCATTAGTATGTTACATTGAATCATAGATTTTAAAATAGATCATGAAAATAGGATTATTTTCTACTCAAAACCTAGTTATTACCTAATTGATAAAAGGACTCTGAGGTTAGCTTTTTATACTTCTCTCCAGCATTCATCTTGATCATGCATTCTAAATTGATTACCTATAATTTGTCAAGTAAAAATCACATTTACGATCGAATGACAATTTAAAACTGAAATAGCAAATATTTTTAATAATAGTAACCCCTCAAATTCAAAATATTAAATATTTACAGGAAAAAGTGGGCTGACATGCTGTGTGTGTGAATTATGTAATTTTCAATTTCTTTTTAGCTGTGTTATTATTGACTAGACTTCTTTTCTTGGGTAACATATATTCTACATACTTAGATTTCCCTAGTGTAACGCAGATATGTAATCACACCTGCCTAACTTATCAATCAGTAGTGTTATCGATATAGAACTCAGAGAGATTTCTGTTTTATACCATGAAGTGTTACACGAGCTTTCTTAATCCTTTTTTGATCATTTGAGTATTGTCAGGGTGGTTGTCATTTTTCTCTTTTCACTATGCATATGTCACTTGATACTTTTTAAGCACATGTTGTTTTATGAGGAATGCAAGGTAGAAAAGTGTTTTGTTAAATGTTAAATGACTATATTTGTTTATTTCATGAAAAAATGAATTTACGCATCAGTTGAAAATAAACTATCATAAAATATTTGTTTAGAGTTTAATTTATATAGTTTAAGATCCTAAAATGTACTTGACAGAATCTCCATATTATAGAAGTACTTGGATTCTCTAATACCTAAAAATTAAGAAAGAGTCTCATAAATAATGATACAAATGCATTGTTTTACAATTGAGATATTATGCCAAGATGAAATTTCAAAGACTGAAATAATATGGACAGTCAGTGACTTGCCTTACTTCTGTTCTTCTGCTTGTCAACAATAGGTATTTTTAATTATTTATTCAGGACTTTTTTATTGTTAGAAACACATACGCACATATATACACATACCCTGTGTACTTCTTGGGTAGTATGTATGAAGTTTAAAGAGAGTATTATTTATATATTGGTAGATAGTATGAAGTTTAAAGAGTATTATTTAACAAATATCTTTCTAGTTAGGTCATAAGACTATAGTAAAGTTCACTGATTAGGAGTAAATTTGAGGACACTCTGTATTATAATGAAAAGCCTAAATTTTAAAATGTTTTTAAGGAGCCCATTTCATTACTTTTAAGAGTTGTACAAATTAGAAGCAAAGATGTAAGTAGGCAACTAGTGAAATTAGTCAGGTTATTGAGAATTAGAATTTATAATAAATATAGGATAGCTGTTATAAATTGAATTGTGTCCCCCAGAAATGTTTTATCAATTTGGCTAGGCCATGATTCCCATTATTGTGTGGTTGTCCACCATTTTGTGATCTGATGTGATTGTTCTATGTGTTCTAGATCCTAACCTCTATGATAACAAGGCAGGATTAGAGGCAGTTATGTTAATGAAGCAGGACTCAGTCTACAAGATTAGGTTGTATCTTGAGTCAGTCTCTTTTGAGATATAATAGAAGCAAGCAGAGAGATTCACCAAGAATGAAGAACCAGGAGGGGAGCGCATGCTTTGGACCTAGGGTCCCTGCGCTGAGAAGCTCCCAGACCAAGGGAAGACTGATGACAAGGACCTTCCCCCAGAGTCGACAGAGAGAGAAAGCCTTTCCCTGGAGCTGGCACCCTGAATTCTGACTTCTAGTCTCCTAGACTACGAGACAATAAACTTCTCTTTATTAAAGTTATCCGCTTCTGGTACTTCCATTATAGCAGTACTAGATCACTAAGACAGAATTTGGTACCAGGAGAGTGAGATGCTGCTCTAACAGATACCTACAATGTGGAAGCAGTTTTTAAGTGCTGGAAGAGTTTTAAAGTGCCTAATGATAAAAGCCTAGATTGCCTTGAAGGAACTGTTGGTAGAATTGTGGACATGAAGGACAATTCTGGCAAGGACCGAGAAGGAAGTGAGTAGAGCTGTAACACCAGAGATGGCGCAGACAGCAAGAAGAAGCAGCAGAGAAACAACAGCAGCAGAACCAGGAGAATGGCATGAGACAGCCTGGGAGCAGACCCACGGAGCAAGAGAGCTGACTGCCGTTGGGCAGGAGGCTTCCTGGTGGAGCTGGGTGCTTCCAGGCACTTATCGGTGGAGCTAGGCTTGCTGACCCATGGAGCAAAGAGCTGAGTGCCTTCCAGCTAAGGGTTTACTGGCGGAGTAGGGTGCTTCCAGGCACTTACCAGTAAAGCTAAAAAGCTTTGGAACACTTGCACGAGCAGGGCAGATGCTGGGCTGGCCCAAGAGGCCGAGGAACCAGGAAGCAGAAGCTGAAGAGACAAGAACCTTGCTCCAGAGCCAACAGAGAGAAAGCCTTCCCCACAAGCCAGCACTATTAATTTGGACTTCTAGCCTCCTAAACTGTGAGAAAATAAATTTGTTTGTTAAAGCCACCAACTTGTGGTATTGCTGTTATAGCAACACTAGATAACTAAGACATCACCTAAACATGAAATATTGTAAAAGTAAGAAAAATCTTCACAAATTTTGCTTTAATATAGTTATTGTATTTTTGGAAATTTTTTTATTACAGCTCTTTAATACTGGAAGGTGTTGAACCACGGAGTACCTGTGAACTAGAAGTGGATGCTGTAGCTGCTGATATCTTAAATCGGCTGGACATTGAAGGTATATATACAGTTATTCTTAATATATATTTTTGTTTTTAAAAATCGGTGACCAAAATAGACTAGAAAAAGTAGAGAAGAAAACATTACTAGGGAAATAAGATGTTATAGAAGGAAGATACAATATGTTATGAAGATTGCTTCTACAGTTTTAAATAGCCATTATTTTTCATTTATTTATATATTTATATGAGTATGTTTGCATAGACATGAGCATGAAGTAAGTATGACACTAAATAATATTAGCTAGTATAATAGAATTTAATATACTCTACCTTTTAACTTTTTTATTCCTAGATTATATACCAGGGAGGGGACTCTAAGATCTATTGGCTATCATCAAATGCTTGAATTTTTTTTATTTGCTGGGTTTTTGGGAGCCAGTAGGAAGAAAACTTAAACAAGAAGTAATGTAAACAAATGTGGGTTGAGACAGTGTGTAAGTCTGTTGTATTTCAGAAAGTAGGCAATTATTTTTATTAGAAGCAATATTTATTAAAGAAAAGTTTAGATTGCTGTTTTTAAGCATTTTTCACATTGACCCTTGTAGTACTGAATTATTGTTGTGATTACAGCTCAAATTGGTAGAAATCCTGGCCTACAGGCCATATGGGAAGATGAAAAGCAACGACGAAGAAACAGAAATGAAACTTCTCAAATTAGCCAACCTGAATCACAAGGTATAAACGTAATAGTACTCTGATGACTTTTAAAACTAAATATTTTAGTTGGAAAATTAAGCCAGTGCATTTTTATCTTGACATTAGATTGTACTTTTAAAATTACCTTTAAATTTTTTAAGTATTTTTTTCCTGTTGTCATTGCCCTGCAACCAGTAATCCTTTATCTTTACAACTCTCTCTGAAGTATCACTCATTGACATCTTCAGTGTCCTTAATTTTCACTGTCCTCCACCTTGTCCTCTTGCCCACATTTTTACCAAATGAGGTATAGAAAACTCACAGAAGATCATGAATCCCAACTTAGAAACACTGTGTTTAGTTCATTAAGCTTTGAAAAGGTCACTCGTGAAATACTGCCCCCAAATTGTTTTCTGGATATATCATAAAAATTCTCACTTTGATTATCATGCACATCTCTGAAGAGAATACTTATTTTATTTATTATTAACCCTGCTACATTCAAAAATAATTTGAGGGGGCTTATATAAATACCATGGATACAACAAAAAAAATTTTTAAATAATAGTAAAAAATAGCGGCAGAGGCAGCTGCGGGACTCAGTCGCCACCCAGACTCCGCCATGTTGGGGCTTGTGGGTCGTGTGGCCGCTGCCTGGGCCTCTGGGGCCTTGTGAGGACTTAGCCCATCGGCGTCGCTGCCCCAAGCACAGCTCTTGCTGCGGGCCGCCCTGGCATTGCTCCAGCCTGGCAGAGACTATGCAGCGCAAACATCTCCTTCTCCAAAGGCAGGCGCCGCCATGGGGCACGTTGTGGCAGTCATCGGTGCAGTGGTGGACGTCCAGTTTGATGAAGGACTATCCCCCATCCTACATGCTCTGGAAGTGCAAGGCAGGGAGACCAGGCTGGTTTTGGAGGTGGCCCAGCATTTGGGTGAGAGCACAGTAAGGACCATTGCTATGGATGGTACTGAAGGCTTGGTTAGAGGCCAGAAAGTCCTGGATTCTGGTGTACCAGTCAGAATTCCTGTTGTTCCTGAGACCTTAGGCAGAATCATGAATGTCGTTGGAGAACCTATTGATGAGAGAGGTCCCATCAAAACCAAACAGTTTGCTGCTATTCATGCTGAGGCTCCTGAGTTCATGGAGATGAGTGTTGAGCGGGAAATTCTGGTTACTGGTATCAAGGTTGTGGATCTGCTGGCTCCCTATGCGAAGGGTGGCAAAAGTGGGCTTTTTGGTGGTGCTGGAGTTGGCAAGATGGTACTGATCATGGAATTAATCAACAATGTTGCCAAAGCCCATGGTGGTTACTCTGTGTTTGCTGGTGTTGGTGAGAGGACCCGTGAGGGCAATGACTTATACCATGAAATGATTGAGTCTGGTGTTATCAACTTGAAAGATGCTACCTCTAAGGTAGCGCTGGTTTACGGTCAAATGAATGAACCACCTGGTGCTCGTGCTCGAGTAGCTTTGACTGGACTGACTGTGGCTGAATACTTCAGAAACCAAGAAGGTCAAGATGTACTACTGTTCATTGATAACATCTTTCGCTTCACCCAGGCTGGCTCAGAGGTGTCTGCCTTATTGGGCAGAATTCCCTCTGCTGTGGGCTATCAGCCTACCCTGGCTACTGACATGGGTACCATGCAGGAAAGAATCACCACCACCAAGAAGGGATCTATCACCTCCGTACAGGCTATCTATGTGCCTGCTGATGACTTGACGGACCCTGCTCCTGCCACTATGTTTGCCCATTTGGATGCTACCACTGTGCTCTCCCGTGCTATTGCTGAGTTGGGCATCTATCCAGCTGTGGATCCTCTAGATTCCACCTCTCAAATCATGGATCCCAACACTGTTGGCAACGAGCATTATGAAGTTGCCCGGGGGGTGCAAAAGATATTACAGGACTTCAAATCCCTCCAGGACATCATTTCTAGGCATGGATGAACTCTCTGAGGAAGACAAGCTGACTGTGTCCCGTGCGCGGAAAATACAGCGTTTCTTGTCCCAGCCATTCCAGGTTGCTGAGGTCTTCACAGGTCACCTGGGAAAGCTCGTACCCCTGAAGGAGACCATCCAAGGATTTCAGCAGATTTTAGCAGGTGAATATGACCATCTCCCAGAGCAGGCCTTCTACATGGTGGGACCCATTGAAGAAGCTGTGGCAAAAGCTGATAAGCTGGCTGAAGAGCATTCGTGAGGGAGTCCTTTGGGCAAACTGTCCACTGTGTTCTCCATCTCCTTGTCCCCCCCAATCCAAAAAGCTTCAGTTTTCTGTGTAGGCCACAGGAGAGCCTCGTTTGAAGATGTTGTGTTCTGTCTTAAGAGTATTTAAGGTTTCCAATAAAACATACATCCCTCAAAAAAAAAAAAAATAGTAAAAAATAAAAGATAATAATCAAATGACAAATGTATTTGGAATAAGGTAGTAAGCCTACATTTAAGTCCAATTAAAAAAATTTTTTTATTATAATGTCTTGGCACTAAAAATACTTTGGTAAATTTTGAGTGCCTTTTATGCATTTTAGAATAGAAATACTATATTTTGTAAGGGGAAAATTTCTGGGTTCAGGGTGTATGATACATTTATAGGTAGAGAACAGTGTTTTTCTGCTTTAGATTTAGGTAATAATTATAGAACTTAACTTTAAGCTGACTTAAAGTACTTTAAAACTTTAGTAACAACCATTTCTCTTATTCGAGTTTATAATAGGAATACATTTAGATGGTGTTAAGTATATAGAGAAAAAGATTGGAAATTGTGTTACCATTTTTAAAGCTACTTTAGGAGAAAAGAAAATACTTCATTCGTTCTTATACATTTTTTAATGCACTTTTTAAAATTCAAAGATCGCAGGTTTGTGCCAGCCACAGAAAGTGAAAAAAAATTTCAGAAGAAACTTCAGGAAATTCTCAAACAGAATGATTTCTCTATGTAAGTGGTTATTTATCATAAATCTTGAAACTAGTTTTATTGCTTTGTTATCTAGTTTGTTATAAAGGATATGTTTTCTTAAACAGAACGTTATCAGGATCTGTGGACTACAGTGATGGATCCCAGGAGTTCTCTGCTGAGTTAACGTTGCACTCTGAGGTTTTGTCTCCTGAAATGCTTCAGTGTACACCAGCCAATATGGTAGAAGTCCACAAAGACACAGCACTGAACAAAGGTAAAATTTTGTTTTCAAGCATATAGAAAATACCACATCAGACATCTGTGTATCCAGCACTGAGGTATTAATATTTGGTTGAATTTGCTACGTTTTTTTTTTTTGTTTTTTTTTTTTCTTCTAAGAAATTATGTTGTTGTTAGGTGCCATCAAGTTGGTTCTGACTCATAGCGACCTGTGTGCAACAGAAAACACTGCCTGGCCCTGCGCCATGCTCACAGTTGTTGTTATGCTTGAGCCCATTGCTGCAGCCTCTGTGTCAGTCCATCTCGTTGATGGTGTTCCTCTTTTTCGCTGACCCTCTACTGAACCAAGCATGATATCCTTCTCCAAGAACTGATCCCTCCTGATAACATGTCCAAAGTATGTGAGATGAAGTCTCACCATCCTTGCCTCTAAGGAGCATTCTGGCAGTACTTCTTGGAAGACAGATTTGTTCATTCTTCTGGCAGTCCATGGTATACTCAGTATTCTCCACCAGCACCATAACTCAAATGCATCAATTCTTCTTTGGTCTTCCTTATTCATTGTCCAGCTTTCACATGCATATGAGGTGATTAAAAATACCATAGTTTGGGTCAGGCGTACTTTAGTCCCGAAAGTGACATCTTTGTTTTTTTAACACTTTAAAGAGGTTTTTTTCAGCAGATTGCCCATTGCAATAATATTGTTTGATTTCTTGACTGCTGTTTCCATGGGTGTTGATTGTGCAAGCAAATTGAAATCCTTGATGAGAAATTATGCATGTAGCAAAAATCCTCCCTCTCCCATTCTTTTACCCTTTATATTCAAGAGCTAAGCACTATCCTGAAGTGGTGAAAGTTGTTTCTGTATATGTTTTTGTATTTTCTTGTAAGTCTATAATATATACTATAGTTTTATGTTTTAAATACAGTATTACATAAATACTGTCTTCCTTGGCAGCATGGAATTATACAGCTTGCTTTTTTCATTCATTATATTATTTTAACAGATTTACTGAGGTATAATTTACAAAACATAAATTTACCCATTTTAAGTTGTGCAATTCAGTGATTTATAGTAAACTTACAAAGTTGTACAAACATCTCCACAACCCAATTTTAGAACATTTCCATCACCCCAAAAAGATCACTTTTGCCCGTTTGCAGTCATGCCCGTTCTCACATCCAACCTCAAGTAACCACTAATCTACTTTCTTGTCTCTAGATTTGTCTTTCCTGGACATATCAGATAAATGAAATCATACAATATGTGGCCTTTTGTGTCTGGCTTCTTTCACTTAAACATAATGTTTTTAAGGTTTATCCATGTTGTAGCATGTATCAGAACTTTGTTCCTTTTTATACTGAATAACATTCCATTGTATGGATACTCCATATTTTATTTATCCTTTGAACAGTTGATGGGCATTTGGATTGTTTGCACTTTTTGGCTTTTATTAATGCTGCTGTGAACATGTGTGTGCACGTTTTGTCTGGATACTGTTTTTCCTCTTAAGTAGAGACTGAAGAGTGGAATTGCTGGATATTATGGTAAATTTGTGTTTAACTTTTTAATAAACTGCCAAAGTGTTTTCTAAAGTAGCTGTACCATTTTTTATTCCCACCAGCAATATATGAGAGTTCAGTGTCTCCATATCCTCACCTCACCAGCAATTGCTGTTGTCTGTATTTGTGATTATAACTATCGTAGTGAATATGAAATGGTATCTCATTGTGATTTTAATTTTCATTTCCCCAATGACTAATGATGTTAAGCATCTTTTTATGTCAACATTATAATTTTGAAATTTATCCTTCTTCATTCATGTACCTCTAGGCCATTCATTTTAGCTGCTGATTAGTGTTTCATTGGAAGACTAAATAAGAGTTTATTTGTTTATCTACTCAACTACCACAACTATTAGATGGGTTTCACTTTGGCACTTTTGCAAACAGCCCTGTGTCTGTCTCCTTGTGGGCATGTGCAAGAGTTTCTGTACAGAAGCTGTGTTGTTGTTAGGTGCCGTCGAGTTGGTTCCGACTTATAGTGACTATGGACAATAGAATAGAACATGTTTAAAGACTAATATTTTTAGACTGTGAATTAAAAGCTTTCTGAGAAACACAAAATTAATATAAAATGAATTTATTTGTACTTTTTGAGCTATAGAGAATAAGAATTTTATTATTCAAATGAAACAGCTTGTCTGTTATTTTCCCTGTGTATATTTTAATGTGTAATAATTTTTATTAGAGTAATATAACTGTACAAACTAGCATAGGATTAAAGAGGCTATGAATAAGGAAGACCAAAGAAGAATTGATGCATTTGAGTTATGGTGCTGGCGGAGAATACTGAGTATACCATGGACTGCCAGAAGAATCATAAATATTTGACAAGTCATAGATTCAGGCTTGTTTTTTTATTATTCAGTATAACTAATTAGATATTCCTGTGGCTTTTATTAAAGGTGTGTTAAGTTTTTATTTAGTATCTATCATTAAAACTTCAAAATTTTAAATAGGTTTAATTATAATGCCTCCTAATTTACACACATACTAATTCACACAAATAATAAATTTTCAATTTAGGCCATTGCTTTAATGTTTTTGTATTCTTTGTATCTTAAGGTCACAAAGTACAGGAAGTTCTTATTAATGAAGAAGCAATTTTGAACCTCATGGAAAATAGTCAGACTTTCCAACCTTTGACCCAAAGACTGAGTGAGTCACCAGTTTTCAGTAAGTAACAATGCTACCATAAACATCAGTATTTTAAATCAATACCATTATATTTTTTATGAAGAATTTGTATGGAGGTTTTGTTTCTTTGATTTGAAGAGATTAATGTTGCATGTTCAATAAATACTTAGTCAACAACAGTATAAAAATGAAACCTTGCATTAAATCAAGTAGCTTTGTTTTTGTGTTATTTATTTTTTGGCACATCTTTTTATTAAAAAAAAAACAATTGTGAAAGAAAATAATTCCTTTCTGTTTTTTTTCTTTAACTTCACTTTGGTTGGAGGAAAACCATATTGCCGCAGGGAAAAAATGTACTTATTTTTAATTGAAATTCTCCAAAGTTTAGCTACATTAGTAGAACATCATAATTGGTTCTTTCTTGGTGACTAACAGAAGTTTCCCTAGATAATTCCATCCACGTCATTGAGTTATGACTAGATATAGCACATGCCAGTTATTTTTGAGTGTCTTTGCTGTAGTGGAGCCCTGGTGGCGCAGTGGAGCCCTGGTGGCGCAGTGGTTAAGAGCTCAGCAGCTAACCGAAAGGTCCGCAATCCGAATCCACCAGCCACTCCTTGGAAACCCTATGGGGCAGTTCTACTCTGTCCTGTCGGGTCACTGTGAGTCAGAATCGACTCGATGGCAATGGGTTTGCTGCAGTAGTTTTCTTATGCTATCACTCGAAATACATTTTCAGTCGTATCATAAGCCATTTACTAGACTTCAGTATTTTAGTTTAACTTAAAAAGAAAAGAAACACTTTGTCATGGAGTCAATTCCAATTCATAGTGACCCTATAGGACGGAGTAGAACTGCCTCATAGGGTTTCCAAGGAGTGGCTGGTGGATTTGAACTGATGACCTTTTGGTTACAGCCAAGCTCTTAACCTTTCTGATATCTTCTTTAAAAGTTTGCTGCGTAAAGTGAGATAGTATTAAACTTCATGCCTCTTGTTTTGCTTGGCATAATGATTTTATGTTTCTTTCCTTCCTTACATTCTAGTTTTTCATTCTTGAAGCACCAAATGTGATACTAGGTCCATACAGTGTCCTTTTTCTGTTATTTGCATTTTCATTTGTGAATGGAACATAATTAACTGATTAGGGACAATACCAAAATTATTGTACATAGTCATATTTTAAGAAAATTTTAAATAGGAGTGGGGGACTTTTTCTTTTTTAAATGAAAGGTCACATGCATAAAGATGTCATCCAAAGACCACATTAAAAAATTAAGGAGAGTGGCAGCAAGATGGCATTATAAGCAGCTGAACATCCCCACCCTCCCACATCAACTACAGAAAAAATTAATTTGAGGTTTACCATCTAAAATGCTCTGTTTCTTCACCTAAAGCACAATAAAAAAAAAAATGCTCTATTTCTCCATCTTAATAAATAAAAACATGTACCAAGTTAAATTCCATTCTAATTATTAAAAACATATAGTTAAAAGTAAGGAACATAAAGTCAAAGATTCAAAAAGAGGAGACAGTGAGGGTGACAGGCAAATCAGTATTTCATGACATAAGGCAAGTGTACTGTATCATCAACAGATATAATTCTGCCTTGCCTAAGGTTGCAGAAATGCAGTGTCAACGTAGTCAATCTGAGGAGCAAATATCTATAATTATTCACCAATACTAATCTTTCTTAAAGTATGGGATGGGAAAAAGAAAAATTGCAATTCTAGGTTTAAGAAATGGATCATTGTCAAAATGGCTCTTATTAACAAGTATCATTTTTACCTTACGTTTGGTAACATATTTGAATCAATATCTTTAATATCAACAAATAAAATCTGAAACTTGATATTTTAGTAAGTTGGAAATGTGTTAACTCATCTTATAGAGAAAAGGGCTGTATACTAGATTAGAACAAACCCCAGTCTTCATGATCTTTTAAAAAAAAAATAACTTTATTGAGATATAGTTCACATACCATAAAATATACCTTCTAAAGTGTATAATTTGGTATCTTTTAACATATTCACAGTTGTGCAATCATTACCACTATCTAATTCCAGAACATTTTCATCACTGCCCATTAGCAGTCCCTCCCTGTTTGTCCCTTCTCCCAGCCCTTGGCAAACACTTTCTATTTCTTTGAGTTTGCATATTTTATGCATTTCATGTAAATGTCATCATATAATATGTGTCCTTTTATGCCTGGCTTCTTTCACTTAGCATAATGTTTTTGAGGCTTATACATGTTGTAGTATGTATCAGTACCTCATTCCTTTTTACTGCCAAATAATATTCCATTATATGAACTATCATATTTTATTTACCCATTATTGGTTGATGGACATTTAGAATTTTTTTTTTTTGCTATTATGAATAATGCTGCTGTGATCATTTGTGTACAAGCTTTTATATGAACATATATTTTCAGTTCTCTTGGGTGTATACCTAGGAGTAAAATTGCTGAGTCAAATGCTAACTCTTTTTTTAACCTTTTGAGGAACTGCCAAGCTTTTTTCCAAAGCAGCTGCACCATTTTACAGTCCCACCAAGAATGTATGAAGGTTCCAATTTCTGCACATCTTTGCCAACACTTCTTATTTGTCTTTTTCATTTCAGCCATCCTAGTAGGTGTGAAATAGTATCTCACTGTGATCTTTACGATTTTTTAAATAATGCTATTAACCACTGTTAAAGCTTTCTTGTGTTTTTCAACTACAGGTTTCTTTTGATGATCCTGCAAGCTAAATAAAGCTAACTGAGGGATGGGATTTTCACGTGTATGTTTTTTTAAGACAGTTCCTTAGCGTTAATATTTATGTATTTATTATATATTTTATATTTCTTTTGAACATTTGTGACCATCTTTGATTTTTTATTCTTCAAGCTTAAGTGTGCTGTAAGAGCTTTGGGAGCTTATTAAAATGCAAATTCCTGCCCCTCTCCCAGAAATTCTGTTTCAGTGGTTATGAAATCAGGTCTGGGAATCTTCTTTTAATAAGGACACTAAATTATTCTAATGCAGATGATCCAGGAGTCACACTTTAGTGGGAGAGCTATATCAACACCTTAATCTGTAGACCAGCTGTATTTTTTTAGCGTGTGCTAGCCTCTATGATGTTATTGTTCTATAACTTGTCTGAATTGTTGGATTACTTAGAAAATTTAAGTTATTTGTTGGTGATTATTTCACTTGTCTTATAGTGGACAGTAGTCCTGATGAGGCTGTGGTACATCTTCTTGCTGGTTTGGAAAGTGATGGATATCAGGGGGGAAGAAATAGAATGCCTTTCCCATGTCATTCCTTTGGAAACTCTAAAACTCTCCAAAACAGTGATGATGAAGAAAATGAACCCCAAATTGAAAAAGAAGAAATGGAACTTAGTTTGGTGATGTCCCAGAGATGGGACAGCAATACTGAAGAACATTGTGCCAAAAAGAGGTAACTCATTAGTTATTTCAGTTACTTTAAGAACTTTTTGTCTGTCATTTATCACTGTTCTTCTTTAATCAGAAATTACTTTATTATTACTGATAATACAAAATACCTCATAAACAATAGTGATTTTATTTTCAATCTCTTTTAGGGAGTGATTTGTTTCTCATGTGGCATAAACTTCATATTCCAGGCTAAAAAAATTTTTGCTTCGTTAAAAAAAGTTAACTTTGTTGTTGTTAGTTGCCGTCGAGTTGACTCTGATTTACGGTGACCTTATGTATTACAGAACAAAACATTGCCCAGTTCTGTATCATCTTCATGATTGTTAGTATGTTTGAGTCTGTTGAACCTAACTTTAGAAGCCATCTATTTATATATGCAGTATTAACAGTGTTTACTGTTAGCTTGAAGACAAGGAATGACTTCTAGATCTGATGAAACTGAAAGAATTAAATATTAAAAATAAATAAACAAAATGAAACAGACCCAGACTCAAATATTGCTATTCTGGTTCATTCTGGTTTTCTAAGTCAGTCTCCAAGAGAAAAGAAGTGAAAAGGCAAAGAACGAAATTGTAAGGGGATTGATTGAGTTGTACCAAGGTACATGTTGGGAAATCAAGAAAAATAAAGTTGGAGAGGTAAATTGAACTCATAGAAGCTGTTGATTGCTAGATTAAGATATTTGGACTTCAGGCCTTAGGGAGCTAATGGTAGTTTTAGAACTCCGACTAACAGATCAGAGTTGGTTATGGAGGAGTAACTTGGTGCAGAGGTGAATGGGGATATAATAATAGTACCTGTTTCACACAGTTATTATAAGTATGAGATAAGATAATCTGTCTTAGTCATCTAGTGCTGCTATAACAGAAATACCACAAGTGGATGGCTTTAACAAAGAGAAATTTATTTTCTCACAGTCTAGTAGGC